CTGAAAGAAACAGTGTTGGTTACAGCTCAGAAAGCTCAGGTACAAATTGAAACGGTTTCGACGGTAGCTTCACTGACGCCTCAGGTTGGAGTTTGCGTGCGATATGTTTAATTCTTTGTTGATGATCTGTTTTATTTTAGGTTTTTGCTGCGGCTACCGTCGGTACAGGGGCCGTTCATGACGGTGACGCTGCTGCCAAAGTTCAACAGGCGCTGGCTGCTCCTGGTTTGCAAGACGTCGAAGCTGATGTGCGTATGGAAGAAGATGCTTCCGAGACGAAGGCTGCCAACCTTTTGGCGTCTTTCTCGTTCGCGGCGCCGAAAATATCTCTCACTAACTCCGCATCTACTCCTGTTTCGTCTCCGTTCGCTGTCGGTACTCTTGCCAGCGGAGCTGGTAATGGTGCGTCGTCGTTTTCTCTCTTCGGCAAGAACATGTGCGGCGGCTTTCCGGTGATCTCTGCGCCGAGCAGCGCTCAATTGTCTTCGACATCTCTTTTTGACGGCAAAAAGCAGCTACCGACGTTCTCGTTCGCATCAAACACCGCTTCTGTCAACCCAGGTGTTAAGCCACAGGGCTTTGGCACGTTTTCGTCATTTGGGCAGTTCGGCGCTACACAGCAACAGGGTAAAGCGTCAGATATGGCGATAGGCAATTCTTATGTTCGTTATATATTTGAGTTGAAGCTTATTAAGCAGGCAAGTGAGTAAGTTTCAATGGATGCTTATCCTTTCGAGTTGTAGAGGCAGACACATCAGACAGTGTCTCCAGCATTCATGATCTTGTGCTAGGATGTGAGATTCGTTAGAAGGAAATTCGAATCTGGAGCAGAGTCCTTCGAGTCACTTGGCTCAGATTATTCGTGGCCGTCCTGCGGTCTTTGGCCGGTCGGTTGAGAATGTAGTTGCTGGTGTGATTTCTCAATCTAGAGAAGCAGTGATTATGCACAAAGGTATCTAAGTAGTACACTTAATTCTACTCTAGTTTCTGTAGTAGAAAAAAGTGGTACACAAGATTTGACTGTTTAATTTTGCTGCACTTTCAGTCGAAAATATTGAAGAAGCTATGGACACGACGAATTTGGTGCATAAATTCAGACGTACGAACGTTAAAATTATTTCAATGAAATCTTCATAAAATAGCGTAAAATGCGGTTTACTTATGCATAACAATAGATATTGTGGTCAATCCGGTGACTGACCAATACCGACGTTTCAGCCCGTATTTCACGGGTCTTCAGAGTAGGTTCGTGGTGAAGTTACGTGAATGTGGTTGGTCTGAAAGCTTGCCTTCTGATTCTGAAACTCTCGACTGCTACTTCCGACCAGCCACATTCACGAAGCTTCACCACGAACCTACCTTGAAGAAGACCCATGAGACATGGACAAAAACGTCGGCATTGGTCATTCTCCGACCACAGCATCTTTTGCTTTGTGTATAAGTAAATCGTGTTTTATGCTCTCTTTCCAGTAAGATCGCCAGTGCACGAACGAATTTCTCAGTTTTCAATGAAATCCGCTGTTTTCAGAAAAAAATTAAGAAAATTCGGTGATCCTTACCTATTAAATTAAGAACGCAATTTTTTTGATTTTCAAGACAGAAATAACATCGATTGCCCTACTTGATTTTCATCCCGATGCTATTTTTCTGCTCTCTCGTGTATACATATTCTGACCTGTGACAGAGAATTGAGTATTGTACTTGTAATTACCAATATTATATTTGAGCCTGTAGAAGAAAGTTACAGGTGATTAATTCACTTCGACTGCAGTATTCCAATGTCCTTCAATGCTATGTTCAACGGAGAAAAGAGGGCCGGTTGGCGCTCATTTCATTCCATCGAGGGCGTCGTCGGCAATATTAGGAAAACGCCCGCGTCTGCTTCTTTGATTTTACCATCCTGCTTTCAATTTATATGGCTGTGAGACATATTCTCTTACGCAAACTGAACAGCGCCAACTAAGTTTTCATCGAGGGAGGTACGGAAAGAAGTGTTGTGAATCTCCCGACGCAACTATATTTTCAACTTAGCGTTCAGACAGCAGGTGGGAGTGAAAGGCGTTGTCTTTGAAGGCAAAACGTAGAACTTATAGTTGGTCGGACGCGTTGCTCGGCTCATCGATAGGAGATGGTACCCTCGCGGTCAGACTAGGCCGTTTGGTCGCCCACCGCTACTGTGGTAGGTTTATGTAAAGAGCCTGGTAGGCCGCGTTTGGAAGAAAAAGACTCGAAACAGCGGGCATGTTGCGGCCGACGCGATTGGTTGCCGATTTACTGGTCATTTCAAGTAATCCAAGTTTTTTGCGAGATCGTGGATTCTGACTCCTGTCAGGTCACTCGTCTTTCATCTTCCCGAGATAACGAAATGCGTATCACTTTCGCAGGAAGGAAATAGGAAACCCCTGTCTACAAAGGCCACAGCTGTAGAATAGTTCTAAAAATAAGTCACTTCTAGCTGACAAGACGGTATCATATTTGACTTTCGCAACGTAAGCTCTATGAAAGAAAAGTACCACAACTTTCGCCCAGTCATTTTATTGTAGTTGAGAATGGCATCCCAGTGGTTGTGGACTTGACTTTCCACTCCATTTCTATGGTTTCGGCAATACGCCAGAAGGAACAGTCGAAACTGACGTGATAAATCTGATCTTCGTTGCTATTGCGGGAATGCATGCTGAACTTCATCTTTCAGGAATAAATTAGTTTACCATAGAGTCCGTGTGCTCTCCGTCTGCGGCTCAGCATTAAGCTTTGAGGGCTGGTCATGTAAATGTTTGTAGATTACTTTTTGGGTTTCGCGCAACTTTGTCGACGAAGTGCCGGAGTAAGAAGGTAGAGGCTGGCTCTTTCTGTATTCGTGTCGAGCGTTCGCTTCATCGGCAGTCTCCAAAAGAACAACAGTGCGATGAGATGTCTGCGTCACCAGCAGGTGTACTCTGTTGCATGTCGACACAATGTGTATGTGACGTGGTGGCACACTGTATAGGAAGTCTACGTTGAATGCGGGTGTCGGTTCAAATCTGCTCAAGGGGCAGCCTTTATATTACCCGCGAATTCCTGTTGGCAATGAATTAATCCAACGTTCGTTCGGCTGCCCAGCCGAGAAAGGAGTAGTAAATTCATGACCTACAAACATGGGGGGGCAACATGATATTCTTGTATGGTCATGCCAGAATAAATTAGGTTTACGGCAATATTTTCCGATGCAACCGTTCCTTGTGGCTGCATTTCGAATTGACCCGTTTAACAGCTGACTGTCCTGTGCAGTAGTGAGTACAAGGTTTAGCCCCGATTTTGATTTCGATAATGAAAAATCCCGCAGTCTATAAGTTGAAGGGTTATAACAGATATTTTTCTGTGATCGATTCTGCTACGTTTGAAACTTTAACTGGGAAGGAAACCTGGACGACGTCGTCCGGACGGCGTATCAGTACCAACTTTATTTCGTCAATATTTCGGAAGCCAGATTACTGCAACAGGGACAATTCGAGGTGAAAAATGGATCGACGCTTTAGTGTTCGGAGAACCACAAGACTTATACCTTCATGGCCATGGTCGCAGTCTTGCTTTCCCCAAAAAGCAAAAATTTTTCTTACTTCGGTAGTGCTTTTCAGTGAATTGATGGTTCAGCTACTCTGCCCGAAAAACGCTATGCTCAGCTTACGTGCCAACTCATGTGTGAATCCAGGGCGAAAGACTACTTATACGATTGTTTACTCGCGACTGTGACGATATGACCTGAGAGATGTAGCCGACGAGCTGAACGTCCAGTGCAAACGCCGTTACAGCTCTTCACTCCAGGTACTGTTAATGCACGGGTCAAGAGTCGCCAGGCGACAACCGATTACCTTTGTTTGACCTGTGGCGCGACATATGGCTCCGTTGCGGGTGATTGGTTATGTCTACACAAACTGATCCACCAGACCACTTGAACACCTACGAGCAAAGAATTCTGCCGCCAGAGCGACTGCATGTTGGTTAACCGGAAGTGACGCAGGGTATTGTGCTGCTTGATACCCGGGTCAACGTAGCGCATGCTGCATCGGCTCTGCCCATCAGCTGGGTTGGTCGTCGTTAACCTGCGGTTTATCCTTGGAGTGATAAAGAAATTGATGGTGACAGAGCAGCATGTCGTCATCGATGTTGAAAAGCTGTAATTGGTGGAAACCAGGGCATCGTTCTTCGTTTCAGGTAGAGCTGTCGCGGTAAGTCAACCACCATGTGATATTCCATTCTGTTTGTTACTGTTCATCGAGGCTTAGCAGCATAGTCGTAACTTATTCTCAGAGTGGATGCTGTGGGTTCACTTGTCGCGTCAGCGGTTGTTAGAGGAGACTGCATGGCAAGGTAGCAATTTACGTTAATTGTTTAAAAGAGGGTGATGTTCGTTTGCAGTAGTGTGGAGGCACAATAAGAGCCAGTGTTAGTAATCATGATAATGATCTTTCAAATAGACTGTGGGGTTTCTGACCTGAACATGTTGCTTGTGAACCGAAGATATGTTTTTTCTAATGGCACTTGTACCTCTGAACAAGGAAGCATTACTCTGCCGCAGATTCCATAAATAGTAAATCGGTTACGCCTGAATGCGATCATCACTAAATTCCATTTATCTGCGTAAAAGAAAATACATGAAAATTATGTACATATCACATGAGGGCGACTTCATAGTGTTTTCTCCCCTGTATCTGCTCTCCAAACGTGCCCGCAAGTTTTTCTTTATACTTGGCTGAACGTGAGTGTTTGGTCAGGCGAACTGTCAAAACTCCATTGTCTCTTAATACTTCATTCGTTTATCACCTAAGCCAATGACGTGCGCGGTTTTGGGGAGTCGACGGATTAAGCGGAAGACTGTCATGTGGCTGTTCGTCTAATTTTGTAGTGGCATCCATTTGCGAAAGCGTTTCACTACGAACCTATATAGGGCGATGTCGCAAGCGTGTTTGAAACCCATGCTGAAGCTAATGAAACTTCATTTTATTGATATTTTCATCCCTTCCAAGTCCTGTTACTTTTTAAATTTGTTTGCACGGAGTGTTTTCCTCATGTTTCCTTATATGTTAAAACGCGTCTGCAGTGTAAATTGTTTTCAGGCAATGTCGGCGGCTTCCAAGGAACGGGTGGCTTTGGATCAAGTGCTAGCCCTGCTTTTGGATCTAATCCGGTGTTTGGCGGTCCTGCTATGTTTGGTCCTGGACTTGCTTCAACGACTAGTGTTTTTGGTGGAAAGGGTCCATGTATCCCTACTTCAGTGGCTCCGAGTGCATTCAACGCGTAAGTTACTTGCATATTTATATTTAATTGCATTTCTCTCCGTCCTGTTTTAATATCTCAGTTACTTATTAAACGCCACGGAAGAAAGCTGTTGTGTACGTAGGATGATGGAAATTGTAAAAAATCTTTCCTGTAACGCGTATTTGATGACGCCAGGTGGTAGCTTTATAAATTGTTAAACCTAGCGTTTAGAATGATACTCGGTGAGCAAACAGCGTAAGGTTATGGCTTTATGTTTGGGTCTAGCGTAACTTTGAATTATACATATGATAAAATTCCTGCATGTGCATGAAAACTTCTTTCCACATAAACGACGTCGCTCAAGACAGGTATGTCGTGACAAAGTGCACCGAAATCACACATTTGGTCTGTCATCTATCACGTCTATATGCTTATTTCATGGTCACTGCTACGTGTCTAAGACTTTTAAGGCAGGTCATAAAATTCTGACGGGGTTTTTGTTTCAGCATTAATAGTTGACGATTATGATTCGGCTGGAAGCAAGGTAAGGACAACGGCATGTGTGTACAGTGAGCATTTAATTCGTACCTGAGCGATTCTCCGTAAAACCATGGAAAAGACGACTGTTTGAAATATTTGTTTTACAAAGTTTCGAGAAAAGGCCAGCATTGCGAGGAAAATATATACATTTATGTATCGATGGTTCCTCTGTGAGCCCATTACTCAGTAAATCCTGTATATGGCATTAGCGTCAGAAAGTATCGAATTAGGAGAAACAGCGAAGCCATTTTCGGTAACATGCCGTATTCATAGCGAAAGGCATACGAAGAGTAGTCATCAAGATAAGATGAAAGACATTTTGAAGAATTATGCAGCAAACCTGTCCTACAAAACAAATTGATACCATAACTTACTCGATTATCCATTTGAGAATGGCTTAGAGCCAACGTTCCTGTATGAGAGAAGCGAGCAGCGCGATTAATGACCTAAAATGCTGCAGATCAAGTAAAGATAACATCAGTACTTAAATGACTACAGTTAAAGGAGAAAAGGCTAATGTAATTAATATGCATCGAAGTCCAGAAAGGTAAAATGCTCTCAGATGATTGAGGCAAATCATTTATCATGTCATTGCAGCATAAAACTTGTAAAGTGGAAATTGCAGTGATATTGGTTTGCTGATCAATAGTAACATAGTGCGATGCAGATAAGGATAAAATAAAATACGGAATAAATTGTAATTATAATTGTAATAAATAGAATTGGAATAAGGAGGAAGAAGTCGGACTTAGGCCTGAATGTGGAATTACGAATCTGCTTGTATGCCACTGTAGGTGG